GCACATCAAGATAGCATCCAGCACCCTACCACCTTCCAGACCCACTCGTCCCAAGCCACCCTCGCCGTCAAGAAGTGTTACTCTACTCTGCGGACTGTATTGTCTCCGGCTGCACCCGAAAGGGTGATGGGGGCATGAACCTAGAGTAGAGTTAGACTGATTATCCGGTTTAGGACAGTGCGGGATAAGTGATAGTGTCTGGTTGAGGTAGACCGACGCACCAGCACAACCGTCGCAGAAGACGCTACAACAACAATTTTATCGAGGCCGTACCCGGCATGCCACCGTGAAAACGTGATTGCAGCGGCAGGAACACGTATGGTGACAAAAATGGCTTCAAGCTTCTCAAGTATGTACTATTTGACCACTCGCACGCAATAGAGTGAGTGAGTGAAGACGCAAAGAATTGAGTGAGTGAATATACGAAATGAGTGAGTGAATATTCACAAGGAGGATGCTGGGTATAAAATATGTGCAAGGCAATTTACTTATAGTTGGGCAAGAGTATCCATTCAGAATACTCATAAAATTATCTCGACATGAATTTCGGCTCAGTGGTTTGGAGTGTTGGCTCTAATCTGTCGAGTGAGGGTTCCGAGTCCCAAAGCGGTCAAAGTTTGGAAGCTGTTCATGGTGTTTGGGCTCACCAAATCTCCCCACCAAGGGCCACATCTTCCCACAAATGTTTTGATCTTTGATCATTAGAAATCATAGGTGCTCTATCTATATCTTTTCTTATTCATGTATCATTAGATTGTATTTTAAAATTGATACTGTATAGCGTATATTATCAGCGAGATATAATTAAGAAGTCATTGCGTCACGTCCATATACTATGATATAAAGTACCTTTTGATTTTCAGTTTTTCTTTTAATGTTGCGAGTTGTCAGGTGCTGATTTGGTGGTCCAATAATTACATTTATTGCTGCTCTAGGAGGGGCTCGAACCCTCGACCTGCGGCTCATAAGACCACCGCTCTAACCAACTGAGCTACAAGAGCTGACAAAATCAGTTATTATAGTAAACGGAACAGTGTTTTGGCAGTTCAAGTGCCTAAGCGGACAAAACAAACATGCAAGGAATGTTGGCTGCATGCTCAATATTACCGACTTACCGCCAAAAATGGAATTCTGGATGGCAACTCGTACAAGAAAAAATCAACAAGAAATCAAAGAAAAAATCATGACCCTCTCCACAACGGAATGAAGCAATGTAATATCTTAGTCAGGGCCGAGTCAATACAGCCGTGTAAAATTAATGATACGTAGCAACTTTCAACTGGGCTACAAGAGCTATTGTGATTCTAATTCTTTTAAGAAATATAGACCATTTTAAAACTTCATTAAGAACACGTATTTACTCTGAGAATATTAAGATAAGTCACTCACTCAATAATTTTCACTAATACCCAAATAATTGGACTTCGGTCGGTGACTCGTTAAATTTTAATCCAGCCAAAAATCAAGAAAAAAACCCAGTGGATTTGAGCAACGTTATATCTTAGTCAGGGCCAAGAAGGTGTAGCCGTGTAACAAGATGATATACAGCAACTTTAAACTGAGCTACAAGAGTTATCAATGCTTATACAATACGTACCGATTATAATTAATGTAGTTTAAACATTACTGGATTAGTTTAAATTTGCAACAATTAGATAACTCGTCACTCACTCATTAAAATCCACTTACTAATTGCAGCTTCAAGAAATCAAAAGTAAAAAGACTTGTTAGCGAGAAATCATTAATGAATGACTTAGTCAGGTCAAGACGGAAAAGGCCGCGTGATGATATTCTCATAAAAACCTTCAACTGAGATACAATGATATGGCTGTAAGGTCATTTCAAATTTGTATGTACATATATGTGTTAAGAGATTTGTCAAATTAACTAAATTGTATAATTAATTGTGCAAATTTGTGTTATAATCGGAGCCACTGTTTTGTGAATTTCTTAGGACGTTTGTTAAAGCTAACGAGCTTGCGATTCAAGAGAAATATAGCATCAAGCAAGCCACGTTTCACGGCTCCAACAAGCGATACCGAACGATGGTCCGGACCCGCTGGATATTTTGTTTTCCGATGCGACAGCCAACAGAAAGCCACGCAATGATGGGGATACTTTTGTTGCAGCAAGCCCGATCACATCGCGAGGAAATGGATAGTGTCCTTGCCAAGCCAGCAAGCAACACATGCTTCGCGATTGAATTGATATTGATTCGGCAATGACCGACGATCGAGTGACCCCTACACTAGAAACGAAAATGATTAGCGCAGAACTCTTGACCAAATATTTCAATGCACATAATGATTGCGCGAACAGATGTGAGTGCGTCAGCAAGAGCCAGCCTCGTTACCTCATAAGGTTTAGTTAGACGGTTAATCAGAACCTCAAAAGATTGTTGTGGACACTTGTTCGTACACCAAATTAAGTGCATTGCTGTGTGCTAAACAATTTTGTCAGCACACATGTGGCGAGAAGGCACGATTTGGACCTATTTAATCGAGTAAGATTTGCTTGGCAAATGGATAGAATTTGACGATGCCTAAGTGCTGGCTGCGTATGGGGATCGCATGTTTTACTTTCTAGGGCGAAGAATCACTCGACCTCGACGACAAGCTTGATCTGATTTTGGCAATGCCCTAGTTGAGAATATTTTAACAAGTATTGGCTCCTAGAAGAGGATCACAGTCGGCAAGCAATGATGATTATGTTTTTAAAATTAAAGCTTGCACTAACTCATAAGTTATGGTAACTGGTTCAAGTGGTCGATGCTGGGTTGAAAGTTGAGAGTACAATTTCCACTACGGATGGTTAGTGTGTGCTCAACCTTTATGGTTAAGCCTGCATATATCTGCGTATTAAAGTGTGTACAGTTTTTAGGCTCGCGCAAAAACTGAGTTGGAGTGTTCCACGTACCCTATGATGGGCTGGTAGCTTTTAACTTAGGCTTAGTATATTGTGTGGCCCGCAAGGTAGTTGCGCGTGGGCCCGCATAACTGCGTGCTAGCACCCCTAACATTAATACACTCACTTCTGCATTTGCACACACAAGCGCACATATTCTACCTCTGCCCTTCCTATATCCTTTAAGCAAGTCAACGAATTCTTTGGTTGCTTGGCAGCAAGTTGGGCATATATCCGTGCGATGGCACTCAATCTCGAATGAAAATCTCGTTTAGACGACTGTAGGTAGGATTGTCAGGCGCTGCAAAAAAATAAACTCCTGCAACCAAGGGTGATGCAGAATTCCGCTCTAGCAGATACAAGATGAGAAGACCGGCGAAGAAGATCGAAGATCTGCAAGCGTCCTAGATCAAGGCTTAAGAAGTTCTGGTGAGGAGTGGCAAAGAAGAACAAACTACTCTAAGCGGATATGAATATGTCATAGTCTACAATAAACTTAAGGGGTTACAATAAGACACTGCGTTAGGAACAAGTTGTATTCCTCCAAGTTTGATTCGAAGATTGATTTAAGACGCCTGTCGAAGGAGCTATCGATAATGCCATTAAGTAAAGACACGGACGATAAAACTTGATTAGCATTCGCGGACTGAATAAAAAATAAATACCGTGCATGGACTTGTAAAGGGATATGCTGACATAAAATGCCGAACACGTTGTCGGCATTCGTCACAAGATTGAATTAGTTTTGGAAAATATGTACTGTATCGATAGGCAATGACCGCTATCAAGAGAACAATGCGATGCGGTCGATGGAATAAGCCGGGTCAGGTAAATATGGTGGTGGATATGTTTCCCGACTGTAAATTGTCGAATGCCATAATGGTGACGTTGTCATATAATGGGTGAGGAGAGCTAAATAATCATGCGTCCTATGTGCTGCGTTGCTAGACCCCAAGACAGCAAGGTGATAAGGAACTCAGATAAGGCGCGCGGTTGCAAAACTGCAGCGCTATTCCTCACAACAATGCAGTTGCTCTGTTGCAGCACTGACTCACCCGACACTCAACATGTGGTGGTATTTCATGATAGAAAGTGCAAGTACAGAGTAGTACGAGGCACATAATGACACATAATGTGGCCAACTTGGAAGAGAGAAGACTTAATACTAGGTCATCAAAATATACTGTATGATCGAGTCGTCACAAATGCGCACATGTGTAAAATGGGACGACGGGTCTACCCCTCGCCACCGGCGTCAGTGTGGCGGGGCTGTCGTAGCTCTTTGCTTGGAGTAAGCTAAGCTAAGGTCATTGAATTCACGTGCTTTACAAGAATCAACACGAGTGCAGCGGATCGCAAACCGCTGCCTCCAAGAGTACTTGAAACCTTAACCAAGGTAAGTAGACTCTTCCGTTCAAAATTGAAACTATATCTAATTGTTTTAGTTGCGGCAGAGCCGCCAGTTTCAAAATCATAAAATTTTCCTCTTTCTTATAGTAATACCTAATTAATATAGTAATATGCATTACTACTGGCGATCCTGCTACAGTGTAGCCACATCACTGATGACACCAATTTGTGAAATTTACACCAATGTAAGGTCGCACCATCTTGTGCGACCCGCCCATTCATACAAGGGTCCGTGTAACCCCGTTACAGTCAGCGCCTTGGGGTCAGCTTGCTGGATCCAGCAGAGTGGTAGCAATATGTATATGTGGATTTTATCTTCGATCTTCAGGAAGACACGTCCAGTAATATCGGCATCGTGGTCTTTTCGGACCGTTCACGCAATGCACGCATCGTAGTAAACAAGAATGGAGCTACGCTTTTAACATCCCGGTAATAATGCAAGAATATCCTTCGCTCCACGTGGGCTTACCGAGACCATACCATAATTTCGCTTCTACGAGCCTGTCGGTTGTCAAGCGCTCTGTTGAAGACGAAGCTACATATTTGCTATTCTCTATGCTGAGCTATACGGAGCAGCGGCGCGCTTCTAAGGAACCGGGACCTTGAAATCGTATTGCAGTGGCACAACCAGTAGAGTATTGTCATTATCTGACTCCTCTAAGTGAAAATGAACACTGAGCCTCTGGATGGGCAACGACACATCACCACAACCGACAGAGCTGGCGAAAACTAGTCGCAGGAGGGTTGACCTTCACCAGCAATGCTTGAAGAGCATGGGTGGCCCACCTTCACACGAAGAGTTTGATAGGTCGGCGGTTACACCAGTACGCTTACCTGGTAAATAGTGACATTAATACCCTTAATGGGAAACCTCTTGAGAGTTTGGAGTCCCACTTTGGCAATATTGCGCTGTGACGAGCGACCCTGCGGCAAGTAAGACGCTTGGTACTGAGCTGGTACAGCTGCCTCATTGAGTCGAGGGAGATTGCCAAAAGCAGGAGCAGGAGGTGTTGGGCTGTCACCTCGACATCCGTGTCGTCCTTTGAATTTCATACAGTCAGTTTTGGCCGATGCTTGAGTTGAAAGTCCGCTTTGTTGAAGCTGGATCGAAAAGCCTTGAGACAAGAGATCCGACGTATTTTTGTCGCCCAGTATGCAAACTAAGTCGGATATGTTGGAGGTGATGTGCGGCTGTGTGTTATGCGCGAGTTGTTGAAATTGATGGGAGAGGGTTCATAACCCGTTACTCTGAATACACAACTCATTAACATGGGTTCACAGTGGGATTATAATGGGTGCAGATAGTGGGTGCAGAGCATTCTCCGAATGATCTTTATGGTTGCGTATGTCGATAAATCAAGTAAGCTTAGATGTAGCAGTAGTGCGAGCTAGGTCTTATTTACATCACTTTTGGTTTTACCGCTTCGACCACAAGCCATCTTCCTTCTAATCAGCTATGTTCGACTCAATTATAAAGAGGTTATGAGCCCAAGTCTAAGATGGAACCGTTCGACGCGTCAAAGTACGCGCTCTGGGCGTTCAAGATGAAGATGTACCTCATGTCCAAGGGACTGTGGGATACAGTGCTTGGTGAAGCAGGCGTCACGGCGATGAAGGAGCAGCAAGCGCATGCGGCGATTGTGCTCAACTTGAAGAACTCTCAGCTGGTTCACGCCATGAATACAACCAGTGCTCACGAGACCTGGGCAACACTGGAGGGATTTTACCGCACGCAGGACATGGCAAGCCGACCATGGCTCAAGGAGAAGTTCGCTTCGTTCAAGTATACGGCAACGGACATGAGCACTCACGTGATGGAGCTAAAGCAACTAGTGCTGCAGATGAAAAGCGCAAATTGTGAGCTAAATGAAGAGGATGTGTGCGCGACGACGCTGCGCAGCCTGCCAGCGTCGTACGAGAGCCTGGTGCAGGCATTCAGCATGAGCGTGTCTCAATTCAGCTTCAGCAAGCAGAAATCACGCCGCATTGAGAGCGAAACAGCGCTACACGTGGGCAAGCAACGCGAAAAGCGCCAGATCGCCAGAAAGAGCGGCGGTCAGCGCAAAAAGGGAGCGAACGTTCAGTGCTACAATTGTGGGAAGCGCGGGTACTACGCGCGCGACTGTTGGGTGAAGGATAGCGGTAACGGTGACAACGGCAGCCAACATGAAAACCACTCAGACGTGGCATTCAGCGCAAGCAAAGGAAGCGCGGGCGACTGCTAGGAAATGGATAGTGGCGCCACAGCACATATGTGCAGGGAACGTGAAGCGTCTGTCGAGTTCATGGAAGCAACGACGACTCGCATCGTATCGAGTGCAAAAAACAGCGCGCGATTGAAGGTGCTCGGACAGGGCACGGCGACATTGCAGAGCTGGAATGGCACAGGATGGACGAATACGCGACTTGAGAACACGTTACACGTGCAAGACTTGACACAGAATCTGTTTTCGCTAACAGCGACAGCAGCGCGTGGAATGAAGGACGAGATCTCTTGCAACGGTTGCGTCATAAAACAAAACGGACAAACATCCGCAACGGGGTGCCAAGTTCTTCGGGTCCAAACGAGAGCCCGTTCGAGCTCGTGTTCAAACGCAAGCCACGCATTCAGCACATACGCGTGT